TGTTTAACTGATTGCATTTTATCACAATGCATTTGTTCCCTATAATGGTTTAGAACAGGGGTAAGCAAACTGTAGCCCATAAACCAAATCCCATCCACCACCTGTGTTTGCAAATAAAGTTTTATTGGACACGGTTACACTCATTCTTATATGTATTGTCTATGGCTGCTTTCACACAGCAGCAGCAGAGTTAAGTATTTGTAACAGAAACTATATAACTCACAAAGCCTAAAATATTTACTTTCCAGCCCTTTACAGAAAAAGTTTACCTACTTCTTGTTTTAAAATACATAGTATTTCTAATCTTTTGTTTTTGCACTTAAAGCTTTATCACACTTTCTAAATTAAACAAGTCTAATCATCATCATCAAGTAAAATGTAAAACTTATATTTCCAACTATTCACATTTCAGGATACATTCTACAGCTGTACTGTATTTTGACACTATTTTCACTCTATGTTTAACTCTATTTTAATTATGGTTTGCTTTTTTAACCAAAATTATTAGACATTGTTATTTACCTCCATTTTTCCATTTTCTTTCTCACCATTGTTGTGTATATTTCTTTGTAGGGTCAATTTTTCTTCTTCCTGAAGTACAACATTTAGCAGTGACTTTGCTAATGATGGTAGATTCTCTCAGTTTTCAGTCTTATTTGACTGAATATGTTCTTATTTTGACCTAATTTTTAAATTTAATTTTAAATATAAACTTTATTTTTAGAGCAATTTTAGGTTTACAGAAAAAGTATGCAATAAGTACAGAAAGTTCCCATATACCCTCTCTCCCCTCCTGCATAGCTTCTCTAATTATTAACATCTTGCATTCCTGTGGCACAAAAAACAAAACAAAAAAAAAAAAAACTGTTGCCATCAAGTCAATTCTGACTCATAGTGACCCTGCAGGACAGAGGAGAACTGCCCCATAGGGTTTCCAAGGAGCGGCTGATGGATTAGCACCACTGACCTTTCAAATTAGCAGTCAGATGCTTTAACCACTGCACCACCAGGACTCCTTTCCTGTGGTATGTTTGTTACAATTGATGAACCAATATTGATACGTTATTATTAACTAAGTCTATAGATTACAGTAAGGTTCACCCTTTGTGTTGTACAGTCCTATGATTTTGACAAATGCATATGATAGTTTCACTGCCCTAAAAGTGCTGTGCTCTACCTGTTCATCACACCCCCCTTCCCCTGAACCCTTGGCAACCGCTGATCTTTTTACTGTCTCTATAGTTTAACCTTTTCCAGAATGTCATATTGTTGGAACCATACAGCATGTAGCTTTATCAAACTGATTTCTGTCATTTAGCAATGTGCGTTTAAGGTTCCTCCATATCTTTTCATAGGTTGATATCCCCTTCTTTTTATCACTTAATAATAGTCCATTGTATACATGTACCACAGTTTGCTTATGCATTCACCTATTGAAGGACATCTTGGTTAGGGCCAACTTTTGGCAATTATAAATAAAGCTGCTATAAACATCTGTGGGCAGGTTTTTATGTAGACGTATGTTTTCGACTCATTTGAGTAAATTCCTAGACTGCAATTTCTGGATCATATGATAAACCTGTTTAACTTTTCAAGAGACTGCCAGACTGTCTTCCACAGTAGCTGTGCCATTTTTCTTTCCCAGCAGCAATGGATGAGAGTTCCTATTGTTCTAAATCCTCACCACCATTCTGTGTTGTCAATGTTTTTTTATGTTAGCCACTCTAATATGTGTGTAGTGATATCTCATTATTTTAATTTGCAGTTCCCTAATGACAAATGATGCTGAACATCTTCTCATATGCTTATTTTCTATCTATATCTCTAAAGACAAACAGATCAGTGGAACAGAACAGAGAGCCCATAAATGGAACCATACAAACATAGTCAAAAGATCTAAACATATATCTGATAAAGGACTTCTATCTAAAATATACAGTAAACAAAAGTCTTTGCCATCAAGTTGATTCCAACTTATGGTAACCTCATGTGTTACAGAATAGAACAGCTCCATAGAATTTTCTTGGCTCTGATTTTTATGGAAACGTTTCACCAGGGCTTTGTTCTACAAAGCTGCTGGGTAGGTTCAAACCACCAACCTTTAGGTTAGCAGCAGATTGCAAACCACTTACACCACCCAGGGACCTAAAATATACAAAGAGCTCCTAAATCTCCACAATAAGAAAATCAACACTCTATAGATCTGAATAGATACCTCACCAAGGAAGATATACAGATGGCAAATAAGCATAAAAAAAAATTGCCCTAATTTTTGAAAAGTACTTTTGCTGGATATAGAATTCTAAATGACCATTAGTTTTTTATTATCCATTTGAAGACAGTACTTAAATATTGACTGACTTCCAAGTTGAGAAGCCAGTTTTGAGAGGTCAGCTATTAGTCTAAAAATTGTCCCCAGTTGTCTGGAATACTGATGGATATTACAACTATATGTACTTTTAAGCTGTCTTTTCGATTTTCCATCTCTTTTTCTCTCTCAGTGCTGCCTTCTGGATAATTCCTTCAGATCTATCTTTTAGTTCGCTAATTTTCTCAACAGGGACATCTAGCTACTGTTTATCACATCTATTAAGTTTTAAATTTTAATTTATTTTTCCTTCCTGGAAGTTCTATTTGATTCATTTAAAGTTTTTTAATATTTACTCATATTTTTATTTTTTCTTTAAATATAAAATATATTTATTTTATATTCTATATTCAGTAATTCCAATAAACCGAGTCTTTACTGGTTTGGTTCTATCCTTTGTTTTTTCTATTGACTCTTATGGTACCTTGTCTGCATATTTGTTTATTGATTTTTTTTTTCTTATGAGCTTAGGTTCCTTGCGTATTGTTAGTGGGAGTTCTTTGAGGCCTGGGTTGAAGATACAGTCCTTCAGAGAGGATCTGCATTTGCTTCTATCAAGTGCTTTCTCAGCAGTGCCAATCAGATTAGGGATCACTTTAAATTATGTTCAGGCTGTGATTGCTCACATGAGTGCATGTGTTCCCGTAGACCCTGCACATAGGGGGATTTCTGGCTGTAAGTCCACGTGAAGGGTAGCCTCCCAGAGTGATATCTCCCCACCAAACTGTGAGCCAAGACAAACTTCCTTCAAATCTGACCCTTCCTTATCTCCTGCTTTATGCAAAAGTTTCTTATCTGAACCCCTGCCCTCCATGGGCCTAAGGCTTTGTAACCTGTCCTTTGAGTAAACCAAAAAACAAACAAACCCATTGCTGTTGAGTTGATTCTGACTCACAGCAACCCTATAGGACAGAGTAGAACTGCGCCACAGGGTTTCCAAGGAGCACCTGGTGGATTCCAGCTGCTGACCTTTGAGTATAGCCATTGAAACCACAGCTCCAGGCCACTAGGAATCAGATGTTCCTAGAGCAACAAATGAGTTCAGTATTCACTCACCTGGACTTAGACTCTGGATTTATTCCCTTCCTTTGAGAATTTGCCTTGGTATCTCACAATCTCAGCCATGCGTTAAAAATAAATTTTGCACGCATATATGTGTGCATGTGTGTGTGTGTGTGTGTGTGTGTGTGTGTGTGTGTGTGTGTGTGCCTGTATATGTGTTTTACTGAACAGAGTACCAGCATATATAGTTTAAGATATCTTACTGGTCTTTGGCTCAAATTAGAAAATTGTTCTCCTCACTGGGGCTTTGCTATAGGTATCTGTAAAGAAAAAAATAATTACAGTGCTGTTTTTTAGGTAGATTCTACTATATTTCACCATGTTGTAGGCACATGAACTGAAGTAAAACACGGCTTACATTCCACTAAACCTTCAGTTTAGATACTGTTTACAGACGAGCTGAGTCTTGCGGCTGTATGTACAGTGCTTTCATTCTCATAGCTTTATGTATAGTTTGCAGGATTTGAGGGTATATTGCATCTACCCATCCTCTCCTCATTGTGTACACACATTGACCTTCAGGGATGATTTTAGGCTAGCTGCCTATGTAATGTTGGAGCTAAGATGCAAAGGTTAAGGTATATGTCTAAAAATTTCTGAAATTTCTTTTTAGTTTTTAAAGGGTATATCTGATCTGGTTTCTCTTGTCTTTGAAATCCCCATCTTTCAAACAGCCTTTAACACACAAAGGATGTTGAAGTTATTTTTGTAGAAACTTTGCTCTTTTTTGAAATTGCCAAGTTGCACAGAGTGTCATTTTTCTACCTAAATAAATAAGAATAAATACTGGCATTGATTGTTACTTTTCATACTTTCTCTTCAATTCTGATCGTAACCAAACTTGATAAAACACAGATGTATACTTAGCAATGTATATACTTTATCTGCAAAGGCATCTTCATTTCTAACTTTTAGAAGGTTTAAGAAAAAAAAAAGTTTTTGTGAAAAGAAAACATAGAAAAGCAAGTAATCCGAAATGGAAATTGGATGATAGATTGAGAACTTGACTGAATGGTTATGAGATGGTTACTTGTGTTTCAGAATGAGGATTTCTTCTGTCTTGAATGGAACTGCAGCATAAGCTAATTATTCATTGTAAATGTCTTGGGAGATGATATTTGCCAGACTGTAAAGTAGCCAGTATACTCTGGCTGAGATTCGATGATGGTAATACAGGGGTTATAAAATGACAGTCTTTAGAGTTGAGGAAAAATTAATTTTAGATTTTCTTTCTGTTTTTCCCCTTATTTCTTTAGTTCAATGCAGACTATTCCTTTTATCTTTAGTTTTAAATAACATATATTTATGCTTTATGATATTCTATTTAAAAAATTAAGGCCACTTTACAAAGCAAAACAGAAAAATTAAAAACAAACACACCAACAAAAATGTCTGTTACAAAAGCTAGCCAGAAGAAAGTGGCTTGGTTCTGATTAAAATAGGCCAAGTTGATTTCTAGTAATAGCTTCATTATGATAGTTACTTGAGAATAATGTGAATGAGCATAAAGAATCATGTAATACAAACATTTTACATCTGAAAAATATTCTTAGAGTCCCAGTTTATGACGTTCTTACATTTTGCAATCCCTGTTAAATAAAGAGCCAAATCAAAAAGCAGAGCAGAAACTAGCATCATAAGTTTAATACATCTTCAAATATAGAAATATATTTAAACAGCACATTTAAAGAATAATATAATAAACTTCTGTTTCTTATTCTTACAATGGTACACCATTATTTCAAAAATATATTAATTAATGTACCCCCCAATATAGCTATTTGCAAAATTTCATTAAGATAAATTGTATTTTAAAACAACATTTCAACATACCTGAATTACAAACAAACCCACAAAGTTTTTAAATCTATTTCTGATATTTATTTTCCAAAAGATTTAAAAGAGTGATTAATAAATGGTGCTTTAGGAATATTTTTAGATGAACTGTAAATAGGCCTAACCATGGAGCCACCATAAATAGCAAGTTAGCAATATAAAGGTAATTCTTCAAAAAGTCGGTGTGTGTTAAAGAATGCCTTAGAAGGCATTCCAACAGAGAGAGAAAATAAATTAATTTCAGAGGGGAGAACGCACATGCGCACACACACACACAACAGAACCTTCCCGTTTGGAAATTTTTGTGCTTGGAGGAAGGTTTACAAAATCTGCTTACAAAATAAGGTTTTCATTGAGCTCATTCGCAAAGATATGAAAAATGGATTTCAGCTGTTCTTTTGAAATAGCAACTCTTTCAAATCCATTCTAGGATTTTTGGTAATTTCCTCCAGTTTAGTTTCTGTGCTTTTACCCCAAATAAAATCCCTTGCATGACATCAATCAGCAAATTTGGTTATAAAGGAGAACTAAAGAAAATGGCTCTGTCGACATTTTCTGCTCAGAATATTTTGCTCCTGTAGTGAGTTTTGTCTGTAGGGAGGGCTGTGCAGCCCATGTAAATGTTTCTTTATTTTGGACTAAGTTTTTAAATCTGAAAAGAAAAAAAATCTGCAGCAGTAGTGTTCTAGATAATAGGCAGACATGATTTATTTGAGGTAAGAAGGTTGTACTACAATTTTTTAGCGTTAACTTGGAGAGTTATGAACATAGGCTCTAGTCTGTCTCCACAGAATTCCTGAAGCTTTGAGCTCTTTGCAAAATCTACAATCCACAAGCCAAGAAGTAACATGCTCCTACAGTTACACCAATTCTGTTAAAGCAAACAGTTATAACAATTATGTGCAATCTTTCAGCTTCTATGTTCTGCCTACCGTTTATTTATTCAAATCCAGTTCAACATTTCATTTTATCTAACCAAGCAGAAATGCTAAAAGAAAAATTGTGTTTATCCAAGCATTTTTGTTTGGGTTGTTATTTTTTTTAAGTTTTATGTCTAAATAAATATCCTATCATAGTTTTCATTGGCACAACATAACCAGACATGTTAAATTTCCTGCAACAATATTAAACAGTGAAAGGAGTTCTAATTTCAGAAAAATATATAAAAATTGTATCAGAAAAAATGTTGAAATGGAATTGAATGGGACTCAGGACTCAGCATATCCCATTGAAAGTGAGACTGGGCAGTCTATTGTGTAACATTGTGACCTATAGAATAGATTTTATTGATAATGCAGCCACAAAGGAGAATATATACCTTTAAATAAATAAAAATGACTATATACATGATATTGTACATAGGAATAAAGATGAAATGAGCCAGAATCATTTTAGGAAATGTCCCTTTTTTCTGAAAGTACGCTTTTTATTGCAGTCATAAACTTTAATACAGATCTTTTTGTTATTACCATTATTATTTAATATTAGTGGCAGCCACATGAGCGCACTACCATATTTCTGTATTTTTTCAAAATGACATTAGAGCTGTCATCAAAGTATAACACAGAGATGGCGTTTAGTTTTGTTGGAGCGCAGCAAGGCTTTGGTACGTGGTCAGGAAACATCAGATGAACCTGGGAAAGAAAAAAATTTTTTTTAATTAAGAAATAACATAACCGTTTTATTTGCAGCTTTAAAGCAATATGCTTATTTTGCTATCACAATCAGATGACCTTCAGCTGAACACCTTTCTCCTATTAATGTTCAATGGCAGAAGAGAGGAGGGTTGGTCGTCAAGAAGGTATTCTTAAGCAGTAATGCCTAGGATCAACCCACAGTTCTAGTTATCTGTTTGGGCCTTGGGGAAAAAAAAATCCACCAACTAAGGAAAACTCCCTCTCTGGAATAGTCAGTGGAAATTTTCCTGGGGGAAAGATCAAGGGAACTAGCACTGAGTTGCTTTTGGGAGAAATGACTATTTCTATATGTTTTGTGAGAAATACAGAAGTTATAGTGCAAATCAATGAACACATACAGTTGGACTGTAGAAAGATTTGAATATAAGAATTATTTCTTAGAAGAATAATTAAGTAATAAATCATAAAAGTTAATGCCAACTGTTAATTTTCCATGGTAGAGGGATCATAAAAATCATAGCAAAATACACTCCAGATATAATCCAATAGTTACTCTAAATCAATGATTTCAACTCTTCTCCACAGAATTTGTTTACCAGATTGGCTGGAGATTAACATCCTTTGGCTTTCTTTCCCCCTTCCCACTCTCTAAACAAGTGCCAAAAATCAGGCTGTGCAAAAATCAGAAGCAAGGGGCATATGTATTTTCAAACTGAATATCCATCCCTCCAAAAAAAGTCTAAAAACATGGCCGTACATGAAAATGGAAAGGCCTCCGTAAGGGGTTTATACTCATTTTGATCAGACTGGCAGTCTGCCTGTGATTTGCAGTAATTGAGCAAGGAGCCAGAGCATAGTTCCCCCTCTTCCTACCCACCCATTTTGGCCCTTCCCCCAAAGGAGTTTATGGGAAGTCCCATCGATGAGTCTTAAGGGATCTACAAAAATCCAATACAGCCTCTTAGAGGTTTGGCTGCACAATGTTCTGGCTGAAATGATATAGGAGCACTGCATGTGGACAGAAACAGCAGGAAAAATGAGGTGATCTGACAGAAACGTGAAATTTCCTAGGACCTCACAAAACTAAAACTTGTATAGTTTCTACAAATTTCAAATGCGGCTGTGTCCCTCGTCAGCTTTATCTTCCATAACCCACACATATATGATTGACGACCCCATGTTTCAATGGCCTTGGCAACCTCACGAAGCAGACACTGAAAAAATGGATGGCTCTTGAATGGTTTCTCAAACATATTAGTCACAAACATGCTTTCCTTTAACAACAAACATGCCTGTCTTCTTGTTTCATGTCCTGCAGAGAACAAACGTACAATGCCAGGAAAAAAAACTTCCCATGTACTATGTTTGAGTTTTGCGATGACTTATGTCCTACATCCTGGGACAGTGATGCAGAGCAGGGTCTTGTTCCAAGTCCACGTCAGTTCTTTTTTTTAATGTTTGTTTCTCAACACTGTCTTCAAGACAACAGTCCTAAGAGCTGATAATATATAATTGCATATTTATAAGAAGGAGAAAAAGAAAGAAAAATGAGAGAAAGGGGGGAGTGTTTGCTTAGCCTGAGGAAAACATTGGTACGTTAGATACTTAACTAAGGCAACAAAGGCCTGCTTTCTGAGACTTTAAAATGACAATGAAGAGAAGCAAAGAACTTTCTGAGAAATTAAGTGGAATTTCTCTATGCCTGGCTGTTCTTCTGTGACCATATAGAAGGAGAATGATCACGGCTGTCTCTTCAAGGGATAAAACAACAACATTTCTCTCTATCTGATAGGCTTTCATGTCAACATGAATTCTCCACAGACAAGGATAGAAGGCTAAGCTTCTTAGAGATTATTTTTTCAGTGGAAGTTTGAATACAACACACCTTTCCTTGCAGAACATACTTGTTCCCCTTCCCCAGAAATACTATTCCATATCAAGAAGTACTTATATTTACAGATAGAAAAAAATGAAGGCATACCTAATCTTGAAAATCCCCCAGGAATTTGCTCTATAAATAGTATATGGCACTAAAGTAGGCAAACTCATTGGCCAAGAATCAATCCAAAGAAGATTTACAAACTACTACTTTTCTAAATATGTATTTGCCTTTAGCCTTCTGTTTCCTGTTACCACAAAGTTATCACCAAAGTTTTTGACAACACTCATGCTCTAGTTTGCCAGAGATGTGCATTTTTAGTGTCTAGCTAGTCTGTAGTACTAATCCTTACCTTAGCAAGTCAGTCAAGATGCCAGTAAAACATAATGTCATCCAAGGATTTGATCTGTCAGTTTATTTATACCATTCCTTATTCATAAGGAAACTGGGATACTCCTTCCATTCGCTTTAAATTTTAAATTAATTATAAAAAAATAGCCTTCTGGAGTCAAATCCTCAAAAATTCTGATATCTATTCTATTTTAGGGAGTGGGGTCCTAAACAAGCCTTACCCACAAAGGTAATATTTTTCTAAAATCCACTGTTCCTACTGCCATCCATCAAAAACCCCACTCCCATAATTAAGTCTTGATTCTAAAATAATGAGTTCTCTCTCTTCCCTCCTAAACGCATATAATTAAAATTTTCATATTAACTCAAACACTAGTATGGAATTATATCACACAGTTTCCTGCTCCTTCTAGAAGCCTCTCAGTCTTCCAGCATTGTTCCTCTGCCACATCAATAAGTCATGTGCCATAAGGAACATTAGACTCTTAAGAGGTTTCATGAGTTCATTAGATATAGTGTGACCATTTAGAGACCATGAAGTCAACATTTCATCATTTTGTCACAGAAATAAGTCTAGGTTATTAGAGATTCAATCACTGCTAAATTCTTGAGTGTGGAAGGGAAAAAATGAAGAGTGAGTTTCACCCTAAAGATTATAAAAATAAAAAATAAAAAAAGAATCAATAAATAGAAACACGCCTTACACTTATATTCCACATGGAAGAGTTTTCACAATACCAAAGTATATTATTGAACATTCTTAAGTAATTAGAGTAAAAGCCCTCAGATGAAATTCAGTACAGCTATTATTCAATGTTTTTGTAATGGTTACTAATGAATTATTAGGTCAGAACAAGCCCCTGGGAACCTGTGCGATTAGTCATATCGCAGAGTGAAGAAATCAGTGCAGACTGACCACTTCATGTGATTACTCCAATTTTCCTAGCTGAATCCTTCCCCTATTCTGGAATCAGAATTAGTTGTTAAACCCGCCAGCAATTCCTGACTATTGTCACTTTGGCTCTAAGAAGTAACAAAGAAGTTTGAGAAGAGAAGATAATGCATTGATAATTTTAAATGGATATTTTCTTTGAAAACAACTTCGCATTGTGCTTGGATAAACCATTTCAATCCTACAAAAACAAAGCATACCAGAGTCTGAACTATGGCATGATTGGTGGCATTCATATGGGCATTGAGTGGAAAAGAACATTCTCCATCACAGTAAAACGCAGCATATCCTTCTGGTGCTATAATCCAGTCCTAAAATGTACAAAAAACAAGAAAAAAATAGTATCACCAAAATAAAAATAAAGAAAAATAATTCTTAAAGAATATACAAGTATATTTCATCTGAATAGGTGTCCCTTCTTGACCCAACAATTATTCTAATAGGATAGCTCTCCATTTAATTTAATTTTTAAGCTGAAGTTTACAACAAAAGTATAAATATTTTACATGAAATTGTCCTCTGTAATTTCTCCCGGGAGGTTGCTATGTAAGATATTCTTATTATGTATTAATCCATGTATTCATGAATAAAGCCATAATCATGAAATAGCATTCAAAATATTGTTTAAACAGGAAATGATGAACTCTGGAAAGTTCAAGTGAACCAGAAAGGAAAAGAAGAATAAACTTAATTGAGATAATTCTCATTACTTTTTAATAACCCATTCCTGGTTTTAGAAGTCTGACAACCTCCTAAGTCTTTAATATTTATTCCACATGCTGTTTTTATTTCCATTCCTGAATTAACTTTATAGTCTCTTTAGAAGAAATGGAGCAAATTTCTGAAAATTGTACATAAAAAATTTTAGGAAGCTAAAGAATTGGCAGATGGAATGATTGCTCTGGTTTTGTTTTGGTTTTGGTTTGTTTTTCCAGAGAAGCACAAGTTGGTACAAAACGGACTATCCACATTGAAGGTTTACCATAAAATTTGAAAATGTTTATATTTTAATATCACATCCCAATAAAATGTCATTTTCTGAGAATACACTGTAATGAGATCTATGAAGTAATCTGAAAACTTAAATTTAACTCTTACTCCGTAGAGCCCTTAAAAATTATTTTGGTTAAATCCTCCTCTTCACCTGTTTGTGAAGCATATCTAAAAGAGAGCAGTAAGCTTTTCAAATGCAAGACTTTTTTAAATTTTATTTTCCTGTAGATTTACTCCATGGCAGAGACATTACAGTTGATGGTTCTATTTCTTAGAGTCTGATAGCTTGGGACTCTAAGGAGGCAAGTGGAACTGCTTATGTTAATCTGAACAAATCTTCTGTTTGCATGAAAATTAAAAACTGGGGATATTTATACAACACACTTTTTTTTTCACTTCACAAATATCATGAGGTTATATTTGTTCTTCAGCAGAAGTTGTTTTTATTTTAAAACCTATTAATTATGTTTTGATAGTAAAAGGATAATAAAAGAAGAAAAATTATGTAGATAATCCATATACGGAAAAGTCATGTCAAAAATAATTGGTTATTATATTATAAAAATTACTGACAAAGATTATGAGTTACTAAGCACTTATGATAAAGCAGAAAAGAGGCACCTAAGTTGACGAATGTTCTTACCTGCCATCCCAGATCCCGGAAACTCACATAGAGTTCATGCTTCTTACAGGCTTGTTTTTGTTCACTTGTATTATAATCTGAAGACAAAAATCACATTTTAAACAAATGGCAGCTTATCCAGTATATTAATATTTCTTTTGTGGGATTACTGATAAGAAAGATGGTATTTCTGAAGTTAAAAAATAAAAGTTGGAATCTTAAAGCTAGAGCAACTTACTATGTGACCTTCTGGAAGGTCAGTTGTCCTGAGTTTCTTCTTTTATACAATGTAGATAATACCTTTTACTTTGTGAGGTTCTGAGGAGGATCTAGTTAGACCACCTATGCAAGTGCATAGCCTGGTGCTTGCCATGTACTAGCTACTCAATGAATGCTCATTCATTATTTCATTCATACTATAAACCCAACCTAATGCCATCGAGTTGATTCCCACTCATAGTGACCCTATAGGACAGAGTAGAACTGTCCCATAGGGTTTCCAAGACTGTAAATCTTTTTTTTTTTTTTTTTACTGTACTTTACATGAAAGTTTACAGAACAAACTAGCTTCTCATTAAAGAATTTGTACACATATTGTTTTGTGACATTGGTTGTCAACGCCACGACATATCAACACTCTCCCCTTCTCTACCTTGGGTTCCCTATCACCAGCTGTCATGGATTGAATTGCGTCCCCCAAAAAATATGCATAGCAACTTGGCTAGGTCATGATTCCCAGTATTGTATGATTGTGTAATCTGGTGTGATTTCCTTATGTGTTGTAAACTCTATCACTATGATGAGGTTATATGTGATCTCCCTATGTGTTGTAAATTCTATCACTGTGATGAGGTTATGCTGATGAGGTTTACAAGATTAGATAGTGTCTTAATCCAATCTCTTTTGAGATATAAATGAGAGAAGTGAGCAGAGACACATGGGAGCCTCGTACCATCAAGAAAGCAGTGCCGGGAGCAAAGCGCGTCCTTTGGACCTGAGGTTCCTGCGCAGAGAAGCTCCCAGACCAAGGAAAGACTGATGCATTACAAGGACCTTTCTCCAGAGTCAACAGAGAAACAAAGCCTTCTCCTGGAGCTGATGCCCTGAATTTGGACTTGTAGCCTACTGGACTGTGAGAGAATAAAATTCTCTTTGTTAAAGCCTTCCACTTGTGGTATTTCTGTTAGAGCAGCACTAGATGACTAAGACACCAGCTTTCCTGTCCCTTCCTGCCTTCTCATCCTTGCCCCTGGGCTGGTGTGCCCAATTAGTCTTGTTTTGTTTTACGGGCCTATCTAATTTTTGGCTGAATGATGAACCTCAGGAGTGACTCCAGTACCGAGCTAAAAAGGTGTCCAGGGGCCATACTCTTGTGTTTCTTCAGTCTCTGGCAGACCAGTAAAGCCTGTTTTTGTGTGTGTGTATGAGTTAGAATTTTGTTCTACATTTTTCTCCAGCTCTGTCCAGGACCCTGTATTGTGATCCCTGTCAGAGCAGTCAGTGGTGGTAGCCGGACACCATCTAGTTGTGCTGGACTCAGTCTGGTGGAAGCTGTAGTACTTGTGGTCCATCAGTCATTTGCACTAATCTTTCCCTCGTGTCTTTGGTTTTCTTCCTTCTCCCTTGTTCCAGATAGGGTGAGACCAGTGGAGTATCTTAGATGGCCACTCACAAGCTTTTAAGACCCCAGATGCTACTCATCAATGTAGAATGTAGACATTTTTTTTTATAAACTATGTTATGCCAATTGAGCTAGATGTTCCCGGAGACCATGAAGACTGTAAATCTTTACAGAAGCGGACTGCCACATCTTTCTCCCACAGAGCAGCTGGTGGGTTCAAACGACTGACCTCTCAGTTAGCAGCCAAATACCTAACCACTGCACCACCAGGGCTCTTTATTCATACCTGGGACACAGTGGTTAAGAGCTACAGCTGCTAACCAAAGGGTCTGCAGTTTGAATCTACCAGCTGCTCCTTGGAAACCTATGGGGCAGTTCTACTCTGTCCTATATGGTCGCTATGAGTTGGAATCGACTCAACAGCAACCCATGTAGTAGTACCTAATATATTCATATACATTAAATAGTCATACAATATTTTAAACATCTTCCATAAGGCAGATCCTGGGAAAGTATTGGCTGGGATCTTATTTATCTTTTTTTTTTCAATTGTGCTTTAGGTGAAAGTTTACAGCTTAATTTCTCATGCAAAAATTTATACACATATTGTTATGTGACACTAGTTGCAATCCCATAACGTGACAGCACAGTTCCACTTTCTAAGCCGGACTTCCCGTGTCCATCCGCCCAGCTCCTATCCCTTTCTGCCTTCTCATCCCGCCTCCAGACAGGAGCTGCCCATTTAGTCTCATGTATCTACTTGAACTAAAAGCACACTCTTTACTAGTATTATTGTATGTTTTATAGTCCAGTCTAATCTTTGTCTGAAGAGTTGGCTTCCGGAATGGTTTCAGTTCTGGGTTAGCAGAGAGTCCGGGGGCCATGTATTCTGGGGTTCCTCTAGTCTCAGTCAGACCATTAAGTCTGGTCTTTTTATGTGAATCTGAGTTCAGCACCAGACTTTTTCCTGCTCTGTCAGGGACTCTCTGTTGTGTCTCCTTCAACCGGGATCTTATTTTGATAGCTATCTTAAACGGAGCCCTGGTGTCACAGTGGTTAAGAGCTCAGCTGCTAACCAAAATGTTGGCAGTTTGAATCCACCAGCTGCTCCTTGGAAACCCTATGGGGCTGTTCTGCTCTGTCCTATAGGGTTGCTATGAGTCGGAACTGACTCGACAGCAACAGATAAGTACAGGTGTCTTAAACTCAGAATATCCAAAATTGAGCTTCCGATCATCTGTCAAAAATCGATTCCACCTATAGACTTCTTCATTCTGGGCCGATGGCAGTGGCCCCCAAAAAAGAAACTTGGAATTAAAACACACGTCTTTTTTTCTCTCACCCCCACATCCAATCTGTCAAGAAATCCTACAACTCTACCTTCAAATCACCTACTCTTACCACCTCTATCACTACCATCCTACCATTTGGTTCAAGCTATCATCACCTCTTGCCTGCATTATTGCAATGTCCACATTGCCTTTCTCCCTGCTACTGCCCTTGCTCTTCTACAACCCAGCATCCAAGTGGACCTTTTGAAAAGTAAACTGTAGTATATCACTTCATTGTAAAAAGTCCCACAGTGGCTCCTATATGACTAAGAGTGAAATATCCTCACAGTGACTTAAAGGGCTCCACAAAATCTGTTCACAGTACCCCTCTCACTCATCTCCTACCACTCTTCCTCTCTATTATGGACTGAACTATGCCCTCAGTGTCCAAGTCCTAACCTTCATACTTGTGAATGTGACCCTGCTTGGAAATAGGGTTTTTCTTTGTTTATGTTTATGAGGTCATACTAGAGTACATTTTTCCCTAAACCTAATCCCCTCTAAGTGACGTGGTGTCTTATAAAAAGGTAAAACAGACAGGGAGAGACTCACACACCGGGGGAAGAGGCCATGTGAGGATTCGTCTACAAACCAAGGAACACTTGTGGCTGCCTGAAGCTGAAGGAGACAAGGAATGATCTTCTGCTAGAGCTGACAGAGCATAGCCCTGCCAATGTCCTGAATTTGGACTCCTAGTCCCCAAACTGTGAGACAATGGATTTCTGTTCTTTAAAGCCACCCACTTATAGTATTTTTATTATGGCATCACTAGCAAACTAAGACACTCTGCTTTGCTCCATTCCAGCTATGACACTTCTTATACACAGGTCAGGCTCACTCCCACCTTACCATCTTCACAGTCACTGTTCCCTCTCTCTGAAATGCTCCCCCTCAGATATCTACCTGGCTAATTCTTATATCTTCTTCAAGTCTTAGCTTAATACTATCTTCTTGGCAAGGCCTTCACTGGCTATTTAAATTTGCAAACTTCCACCGCCAATATTTCTGATATCCATCACTTTGCTCTGATTTTTTCCATTTCACTTTTAATATGCTATCATTTAGTCCTTTATTATGTGCATTGCTTAATGTCTGTCTCTCCCTACTAGAATGTAAGTTCCACAAGAACAAGTATCCCTACTTGGTTCACTGATGTATCCACAGTGCCAGGAACAGTGCCCAGTACACAACGGTCATTCAATAAATGCTTGCGGATTTAATTAATGAATTCCTCATATTGTCCCACAAATAATTTGAGGCACAAGAAATATGCCATTTCTATTAAGTGTTTTGAAATGTAATCTTAAAAATTCATACTTTTTATAATTGTTTTAAAGTAATTATGGACAAGTGCAGAGCCCCACATTTCCATCTAGAAAAAGTAAAACACTTAAGAAGTACAAATTTTACAGAAAAAAAGCTTTCTATGTTGTGTTCTTTGGAGCTTATTCTAAAAGCTAACTCCCTTGGATTATTTCCAATACAAAAAGTACAAAACAGGTAAAAATATAGGTTAGGAAAGCAAGCAATATGATTTATTTTAAAAGAATATAGTTAATTTTCTCTCATGACAGTCATCTAGAGCAAATCAACAAAAGCAGTTTACTCTGCAGAAACAGTTTGTGTTAAGGTGTCACCGTCCAGTCCAATTATCTTCAACCTCTAATGGAAATGCAAGCAAATGGAAGATCAAAGGGGCCTGTCTGAGAGGGGTCCTCAGCTGCCCTTCACAGGTACTTCAGGTATTTATTTATTTTATGTTGGTCTGAAAAACAAGGTAATGATTAACTCTGGAACTCAGACAGGTTTTCTTACTTTTAGAGCTACTCTTACTGTACGATTACTTTTATTAAAACAAATTAAATATGTAGGTAACAACAGAATATGGAGAAAAGAGAATTCATTTGCAACCCAGCACTCGTGCTTCTTTTGGAGAAAATCCTCCTTTAATCTCAACAGCACAATGACAAAGAGTTAACTGTGTCTTTGCAATGATAATTTAACACGAAGTTCAACAACATGAAATGGATAAGTTCTCTGCATCATTTTCAGAGGAGAGGAAAAATTGATTCTGGTATCAGTTTGCTTGCATGAGCTTTTTGATATAAAGAATAGGAAAAAATGGTAGCTATGCATTAGACCAAGG